ATGTATGTATGTATGTATGTATGTATGTATGTATGTATGTATGTATGTATGTATGTATGTATGTATGTATGTGAATGTATGAAAATGTAGGTATGTATGACCTCCCCAGGCGCGTGTTCGTGGTGTTCAAGACTCTCGCCAGGAACTGTGTGTTCGGCGCTGTGTTTGTGCTCATGTGGGCCTACCTGGCGGCCATCAGCGCCGCTCTCAGTGCAGGCAGACATGACAATGTGCACGTGAGTTGGGTGGGAGGTGCTGTTGCTGCTGCTGCTGCTGTGATGGTGGTGGTGGTAGTCGTTGTGGTCGTTGTGGTCGTTGTGGTCGTGGTGATGATGCCGATTATAGTCGTGGTGATGGTGGTTGTTGTTGTGGAGTTGGTGGTAGTGATGGTGGTGATGGTATTTGTGATGATACTGACTAAAGTAGTGGTGATGGTGGTGGTGGTGATGGTGGTGGTGGTGGTGGTGGTAGTTGTGTTAGTTGTGGTGATGGTGTTGATTAAAGTGGTGCTGGTGATTGTTATTGTTGTGGGGGTTGGTGGTGGTGGTGATTGTGGTAGTGGTCGTTGTGATGTTTCTGATAAAAGTAATGGTGATGGTAGTTGTCTATCTATTCTATCAATCTATCTATCTCCCTCTCCCTCTCCCTCTATCTGTCTCCCTCCCTCTCTCTCTCCCTCTCTCTCTCTCTCTCTCTCTCTCTCTCATACACACACACACACACACACACACACACACACACACACACACACACACACATACACACAAATAATTACACACTTTAAAAAAAACACAGAATGAAATCCTATGGTTCAAACAAACAGCTAATTAACAGTAATGATATCACATAAAGACATTATACCTTATCCCTACTTTGATCTCTCTCCCTGCCAGATCGCCATTGCCCAGGGGGTAGTGTGTCGAGCCCTGGTCGCTACAGAGGGTGGGATCGTTATCAACGTTCTCGTCTTCTTCCTGCCCGCAGCACTGGCCATGCTGGTCTTACTGGCAAATGTGGTGAGTTATCAAGTTGTTATGTGTGAGTGTGTGTGCGGTGGGGGTTGGGGTGGTGGATGGGAGGGGGGAGGGTGGATGGGTGGGGTGATGTGTGCGTGTGTGTGCGTGTATTTGTGAGTGTGTTGTGTACGTTTGTGTGTGTGTGTGTGTGTATGTGTGTGTATGTGTGTGCATGCGTGTGGGTATGCAAAAGAGTGAGAGAGAGAGAGAGGGGGGCATAGAATTTGTGTGTGAGGGAGAGAGAGAGAGAGAGAGAGAGAGAGAGAGAGAGAGAGATTTGAGATTGTAAATGATTAATTAATTTAGTTGATTTTAAAGGCCCAAATATCCGCAGAACAATTTATAATTCAACGAGTACGCATGCCATTGCAGCGCATCAGATAAACAAACAAAGCAAATGGAACAATAATATTTTTAGAGACAGACGGAGAAAGAGAGGGGAGAGGCAGAGAGTGAGAGAGAGAGAGAGAG